CAATGAATCTTGTTGCCGCGTGTTACGTGGTCCATCGTACTGTATTCTTTTCGAAGCCCTGTTTGTTCACGTGGCCGTGTTAGGTCCAGTGCTCTATCAATTCTGTTTGAGATGAATCGAGTGAATAGTTTTGAAGAAAACAAACAGCAAGCAGAATGGGCGGTAGTTGCCGATATCGTGGAGGTCACCTTTCTTGACCATTAGCACGGTCTTGATGATTTTCCACAGAGTGGGAATCTTGCATGCAAACGGGTAACGTATGAACAGCAGAACCAGTGTGTTGATGACGAGTGACAGAAGGTTTTTCAGGTGTTCAAGTTTTGTCCTGTCCTAATAGGTGTTGTTCGATTCTTCTCCAACGATATAGACTGTCGAATTTCGGAAGGGAGAACCGATGGGTCGACATGTCTATCCTCCTTCATTTCGTATAGAGAAATGAGGAGGAGGTTATTGAAGAAATCCGTGTAGTAATCGTGAATGATTCTGTCCATTGCTTTTCTGGAAGCTGTTACTGTTGCGTCTTGGTGTCGGAGTGCAATCACCTCTGTTTTATAATTGGCGAAACTTCGCTGGGCCTTGCGAATAGTTTTTCCAGCCACTGCACCTTCGGCATTACTGCTGCTTTTCTCTCCTTAAAGCCTTTGTCGTCTTTCTGCAGTGTTTTGGATGTTCCGACGTCGATGGACGGATGTATGTGAGCCATGCGATTCCACGTTGGCAAAATTGCTAGGGTGTTTCTGGAAGCAAACGTCTCTTGAGGACTTTCGAACTCTCAACCTTTATAGCGCTAAAGTGAAAACTTTAAGTAAAAGACGGTTGTATTCCTCGTCGATATTAACAATATTAACAATAATACATCGGTTAAGTAATGTCTTCGATTTACTAAGATGTGGTCTACTTCGTTGTGGTATCTTTCATGGGGAAACAGCTACGTCCAGAAACGAGAATTTCTGGAACTGGTAGTTTCCATGAATGTCCTATCGACTTTTTACCACTTTTGTAGAAAATGGGTTCGACAAAGTGACACCGTATCATCAGAGTTGTTCCGTGCAGCACTACAGTGGGTGATGAAGTTATTCGATTGGGAAAAGAAAAGCATGACAGCTAATGACATACTCCTATCAAATCTTCGCTTCGCTGACGACATCGTCATCCTCTCAAGAAATTCCAAAAAAGCAGAATTGATGATCAGTGAACTCGACAAAACGAGAGAAAGATCGGATTACACGCAAATCGGGAGAAGATGCGATCTTCGAGATTTAGGTAGTTGGTGTGGCCGTGGGACTTCAACAGTCTCTCCATACTCGTTCTAGCCAACCGTACCCGGTGCCCTTTGAGGTAATGAGAATAAGAGCCGTTTATTTTACAGTGTTAAGCGTTTGATACCCGCATACACCTTGCTGAGCTCTGATCGTGGGAGCTGGGTATACCCACGAGTAGCTTGCCAGTCTCTCCCAAAGTAGATGGGGAGCTTGATTATAGGGTGACTCCTAACCGCCTCCCATATACTTTCCTGTTACTTGATTGCAGGCTTTGGACCGATTTGACTTCCAACATACAATCAGCATAAATGAAAACAAACCCATGCACGCTTGTATGAGTGCGTCCCCGCAAACACAGAACGTACGTGCCAAATCTGCGCAGCAAAAACAGGGAACCAACTCCTGGATCCGCTTGCGTCTCAGAGAGACATAAGGTCGCTTTTGGTCTGCGATTAAACCCTACACGCCACCTGGGGACGCGCCACGTAGCCTCGCGACTAATCGGTAGGAGATCTATCTATGAGGGTTACTGATAGTGTACAAAAAGAGAAGGAAAATCGTTCAGTTATTCCTAATAAGTACACCCAAGAATATCAACGACAAGCGATAACAGTGTTGATAATAACTGTTCGTGTTTCCTTCCATATCACTAAGTCTTCTACGAACTCTTCGTCCTTGTCCCTCTCTCTTTCTCTCTCTCCCTTTCTCATTCTCTTTCTTTTCGTTTCCATCTCATGTACACAAGTGATCACTTCGTTTTTATTTTGATTGAATTAGCACCTCAGAATTCCTTTGACAGATTTTGTAACGTACAAGTTGTCGCTAACGTAAATATCCGACGCTGGCAAACGAAATCTGTTCCTCTCTGTATCTCTCTGGCCCTTTGGAACCGGTCAAACCTAGCCAAACTCGTTTGCTTTGTATGAAACACTGGTTTGTCCATCGGCTGTCATTGTTGTTCTGTCGGTTCAGTCAGTTGTTTTGCGAAGTCCGGTGACGAACGACTTCACTGTTTCCTTTCAGTGAATCGATTCCTCCCAGCGGTGAACTCCATCACAGTGTGTTATCAGAATTGACGACAACGCTACAGAACTACCATCACGGAGAGCAGCCGATGGTTTGTAGCATTGCGGTCATGCCGGAATAGTCCTAAAAAGGTCTGAAAAAACTATTCTAGACGATATCAAGTTTTCTACGTGGGTGGTAGACGTCTGTTTTATCACAGTGCTTTATGCCAAGTAAAATGACAAAGGTTCGTTCTAATGGTTTCCTTCTACTTCAAATCTTTAGTATCCTAGTTTGGGAAGTTCTTTTCTTCTCTTTCTTGCTTCTTAAATGCAACTTTTACGTGTGAATGAGTGTGATATAGGTGTGTAAGCTTTATACTCTACTCTACTCTTTTGCTACTCTTCTTTGTATCCTCCTTTCGACTCAGAAAATTTCTCGAAGTTTCTATTGTTCGGTGATTAATCCAATCGCTAAACCCCTAAAATCAAATATTAGTTTAGTTTTTAGGCTTAAATTCAAGTGATGATTGGATTTATTTGTTCCTGGGTTTCATGGAAGACAATGCATTTTCACAATGCATCTGGTCTAATGCTTTTATCTTGTTTTTCTGCGGAAAAATAACTTAGAGAAACTCTGAGAAACGCAACAAAGCCGATTGGTCAACTTTCGCAAGTACTACTAGTGGATCTCTAGACGACATATTTGGTCGACTCATCTCTTCCAGGACGGACAGCTTTGAAGAAAATTGCTGAAAATAAAGGAAAACTACGTCAGGTGATGCTCACGATCAGTGTAGATAGTGCCGTCACTAAGCGTTAGCAAAACTCTCGAAGTAGTTCAATTTTTCCAGGAACGAATCCATTGGTTTTCTAAGAGATTTTTTCAACAATGCTGACTAATCTTTATGCCATCGTAGCTTACTCGCACCACATTTTCAGTCAGCATTCGTGGATTTTGCCGTGGTATGCAACCAGCACTGCCTAGCTTTTCTCATCACCTTATGTTGAGGGCGATTTTATACCAAACTGGAACAACGACAATGCATAGGCCGGAGAGGTTGTCTTAGCAACACGTCGTTGCTTATCACTGAAGCAAACAATATGCTAAGCTGCACTTAATGCCATTACAGTACTCGGGGTAGAGAGGTAGCGATAGCGAGTTAGGGTAGTGGCAGTGATTATGATGAGCACGATGTTGGTTCGACCCCGCCCCAATCCCAGCACGTCTCCCATCCCTCAGAGGAGGGGAAACCATTACCGGACCAGTGTGGGAAAAGTGTGCTTACCTGATTCAAGTGGGAACGTCCTAGTCTGGTTGTCCCAAGAGTCCAGGCGAATTAATACGACCAGCATTTATTGAAATTCATGATGAAAGAAAATCTTTAAGCGGCCACAGAACTCATAAGCGATAAGTTTGAAAATTTTCGTAGATAATGGGTGCGAGGAAAACTAATCAAATGCGAGATGGGATCCGCATAGTAGATGTGAAAGGTGGGTCACGTAAAATAATAAAGAGTACCGCTGAGTAGTTTACATCCTTGTCCGTAGTGATATCCTCCCGTATCCATCTCACTCTCCACAATATCAGTGTATCATCAAACTATTTAAGGGGGTCGGAAAATTGTGGTCACAGTTCGGTTATCACATATTCGAGGTATAAATAGTTCTGCAGTTCATGAAATTGCATGAAAATTTGGAATTATTCGCCAGATTTTTATAACAAATCTCAAAAAAGGCCATATTTTAGATACGATTTGAAAAAATTCCTAATGGAATTAGAGAGAGTAAAGCGTTCTGTGCTGAAGAATCCGTTGATGTATCAGGCATTTGACTTCACTAAGCAACGTTAAAGGTGATTGAATGTATATTTTGCCGACAATGTGATGTGGCTCACAGATGTAAAAAGTTAGTTCCTGTGCCGGCAGACAAGTCTGGTATCACCTTGCCGAATCCGGAGAAATGTGGACTTCGCAGGGCTCGACGTCGAGCCAAAAAGCACAGATGCATTGCATACGTTGCATTTCACTTTTAACCACTACGCCACATGTTCCACATCCATGCTTTTTGTAAAGATTATCCGACGACCCAAGTAGTGTGTATTCGTAGCAGTTCTTGTATCCCATGTGGTTTCCGGTTCTGCTTAAGGATATTGGTATTCATTAATAAATGACGTTGAATGCTAATCAAATGGGTTCTCAAAGCGATCCTAGGATAATATTCCAGGTTTTCAGCACATGCAGTTAGAAGCCTTTGTGCATTTGGTGAAACTCTTCCTAGGGAAGTCTTACCTATTTCTCGAAATCGAAAGGATGGAAGGCTCAATTGACCCTGTGCGGGGTCGAGCTACGTTCTTGCACGTATTATTGAGCAGCATGTCCACCACTGCGCTATCCCCATCCATATATCGAAGCCATTTATCGGAGAGAACAACGGGATCCCGGCAAGCACTGATACGCATAGCATTGTTTGTTGAAGCGTACGACAAAAAATCCTAACTGAAGTCGAAACTGAAATACACCTACAAGATCAACACTATCTTCTTTCAATTTTCAGCTGGATTTTCTCAACAAGGAATTCGAATTATGTTCGTGTACTGTGAACTGGATGTTCATCTCATATAATATTAGTTTGATCTTAAAATAGTTCGTAATTTTAAGGCATAACAAAACTGCCTAAGTGAGTGATTTATTAAACCAACGTCTCAGAAATGAGTTGAAGTTTTTTCAAGTGTTCAATTTCTCTGCTTCCAACTGTCGATATTTCGTGGATTCACGGACTCCATCACATTCGAGTACCGGGCACGTCCGTCGGAATCCTCATCGACATCTGAGTGAGGCCGTCGACGACGGTGGGACGGACATCCGCCCGTCCGTCCGTCCGCTTCGTGCCGTCTGCGGCCGATCCGTCGCGGTGAATCACTCGCACTGAGCGCCGGCCCTGTCATCGTCGACGGCACGTGGAATTTTATCGCCAAATTGATCGACATGCTTTCCCCTACTGGTCTGCTTCACCAATCAGCACATAGATGATCGTCGCTCACGTCCCTTTCCTTCCCCTATTCATACTATTTCTCATTTCATGGATAAGGGCGAATTCTGGATTTATTTGCGGGCTGGACGATGTTATGATCTAGCACCACGTAAATTCAGCATTTGAACTTATCGTATTAAGTTTTTGCCTACCTCGAATTGGCCTTATGATTGCAGATGTCTGTTTGCAACTCGTTCAAGAACATTCATCGAAACTTCGCGAGAAAGTTTTTCCCTTGAGGAAATGCACGGCTGCTCGTTCATTAATATTCGCTGCAGGAATCGCTAATCGGAAGGAAGCAGCATTCACCTTCTCTGGAATGCTCTTCGTTACGATTTCATATAATGTGAGCAAAATACCCAGAGGAAAAAAATACAACAACAAAATACGAAAGCATATTGAGTGATTCGCAGTATTTCTCTTCGTCGATCGGATCAGCCGTTCCGGTGGCGCCGTCCAGTAGATTTCTATTTCTAATCAGAAATAAACACGCGCTATTCATTGTCTATAACATTCAGGTGCTCATTTCGTTCAAGACCAAAAATTTCCACCGTTTGCAAGATGTTCGACTGTGTTGTTACGTTTGAACGCTAGGAATTTTCACTAGCAGAGATCATATTGTTTGTAAGAATCACAGTTTTTGTATGAACCATCTAAAACGCACCACATTTCCATTTTCGGCTTCAGAAGAACTATGCGGTTTCTTCTGAGCGATTGATCGCTGGAATCATGCCTTAGGGTTATTCTCAAATAATACCGTTTAGTCCTCAAATGTAGTGAGCCATGGAGTCCTAAACGAAACGATCGAACGAAGTGATCAATGCGCTCTATCAGAAGCTCATAGTAGACGGTGTTTATCTATCAGCAGGAACCGTTCTTCTATTGTTATCGACATTTTCCGCACTTTTCTACTCGTTCGTCATGAGAAATTCTGTTTTCCATTATCAGACAATATGATTCAAACAGATTTGAATATTTTGTCATAATCGTTTTGTTGGATTTACTTCGTTTTCGGCTAATATTCCTTCAAAACCGAACAGCCATCGATCGGACAAGCCGGTGTTTCGACTCCGCAACCGCCAGATCTCTGCCAGATATCAACGAACATTGTACATCTATGGTAGACAGGAATTCTGCAGCAATACGACCCATTAATGACGACCTCAAAGTATATACTGGAGAGTTCCGTTCATGAATGGTGACTAAGAAAAAGTTCAAATGGAAATCAAAAGTCAACAAGAAGTCCAAAAATAGGATTTACATGACTAATCTTCATGTCTAATGTGCGGATCCCAGTACTTCTCACATCGATTCGCTTCCTCGCATCCATCATTCACTACTCTCTTCGAACCTTTCCGTTGAGTTCCGTTGCTGCTTAAGGATTTTCATTTCATCTTGAATGTCGTAGAATGCTGGTTAATTCGATTCTATCTGGAGTCTTGAGATAATCGAACTGGAGCGTTTCCAATTGATTTCATAGAGTGACTTTTTCCGGACAACTCCGACACCAATTTCCCGATCCCGGAGGTATGAGAGACTTGATGGGCCTGGGATGAGATAGAACCAGCACCTTGGTCGTGTTGATCGACATTACTACCATTGTACCATTCACACCACAAACATAAAATAATGATGTGTAATGCATGCAAAATATGGAGTTAAACATTTTCTTTTACCATTTACATAGTTAACAGTTGAACGGTACTTGTTCAAGAAGATTCTCAAGCCCATCAACATAACAGCTGTTAAACGGTTGTGCTGCCAACTAGGCAAGCTTGTTTCTCCTTGCAGTTTGATGTTCAACTCAAGGAAAAAAGAATTGTTATTTGCACCATTCTGTGTCTTATAAAAAATTATGTTCTGAAAAGGTAGGAAAAGTGGCGTAATCTATCTATGGCGGTGCTTTGAATAATAATACATTTTTGGCAACGCTCACCTTGCACCTTGTACTCTAGCGAGGAGAGGGCACCTTTCTAAAATCGAAGAGTTGAGGAATCTTTTAGCCCTTGATCCCAACAATAGCGAGTCGGAACGCCCATACAATTCGTCTAAAGTTACACGTTAAACAATGTCGCCATTCGCTACCAGTTATTTGTGGGCATACATGTGAACAGGGTATCCCTAAGTCTTAAATTCAGAAACCTGAAAATCAAGTTCTTTCGTTACCGAAACCATAGATAAGCACGAAGTCCTTCCCCAACTGAGATGAGCACCTAAGGATCTTTATCTTTTAAGGTAGAATATTTCCACGAAATCATCACCGTTCACGTAAAAAAAAACTCACTACTTGATGACGCTTGGGAAAGCTCAGCCTCTAATGAATTTGAACAAACTGCTTGTGAAGGACGGCATTTCTCCTAGAATCCTTATTCTCATGGAACGAGAGCAAAACTCCATCTCGGATGACCAATTCACTTTGTCCGTGAACTCTTTTCATATCTGAGTAGGAATAAGTGGAATAGAGGTGTCGAAAGCGGACGAAAGGAACAGAAATAAAAAAGTATCTAAGACCTCTCTCGTCTTGCAGACTTCAAACATATTTTCGTCACCCTTCCAGGTACGGAGTGCTATGCCATCTCTACTCCTTTTACAAACCATTTTTGATTAGTTGCTTTGCTACAAACGAGTGATCGGAGCAAAATATCAATCTCAAGAGTCAACAGAGTCAGTTTTTATAGTCAGCCTTTCTTTAGTTATTTTTTTATACACCAGTGCTACCTTTACAACAGAAAAAGCAGTCGTCCAATGTCGCTTCTCACTGACGTTCAGGCGAGCTGGGAGAATTTTTCCTAATTTGGTACTTTTTCCCAATTCGAATTTTGCCCGAGATTTAGACATATTTTTTTGTTATTTTGGGTTTACAATCTTATAGACTGAAGTGTTTCTTGCTAGGAAAACAAAGAGTTGACAATTGATAAAACAGAAATCAAAACTGAACTAGACGAAAGCATACTCACTTCTGTCTCCTTTGTTAGTTCTATGTGATATCCGTCATCGTATGAAAGAGACGATCGACGATCAGGTTGCCTGCTGGAAATACAAAAAAAATCTAAATGAACACAATTAGTACCGGCCACCGGCTGCATTGTCCCCTCTTTATCAATAAAAACTAGATGACACTCTTCTTCCCCACTACGAATAATTAATGTCTGTCACTTCACGCATGTCACTACTGATTCCCTAAAACTGTAATATTACTATCTTAACCCTTTTATTTACTGCCTTTTTCTTTTTAATGGCAGGGTATGTTGCGAAAAATAACTCATATATAATGCTGAGATATTTGCAAAACTCCGGACCGCAGGTGTATGCGGTGAGGAACGAACACACGCTATTGTCCTTACCGGGGAGCAGCGCACTTCACCACCACACCATCCGGGTCCTTCGTCTTGCCTGTCTCTCAGCTAGTTCTATCGATCTTTTTGCCATCAGCAATCACCCGTCAATGGCATTGAACTAGTTGAGAGAGACTAGCTGAGAAACAGGCAAGACGTAGGACCCGGATGGTGTGGTGGTGAAGTGCGCTGCTCCCCGGTGAGGACAACAGCGCGTGTTCGTTCCCCACCGCATACACTTGCGGTCCGGAGTTTTGCAAATATCTCAGCATTATATACGAGATATACCTTATAGGTTCTTGCACCTCTTCCAATGGTTTGCATTTCCATAGCTGAACATGCGAACAGATTAACCACTTTGTCAGTGGTCTTCCGCGCCAATGAGGGGTTTGACATTTCCACCCATGATCGCGTTCTTGCGAAAAAAAAACAATTTTCATCATATAAAAAGTGAGCGTCATATAAAAACTGGAATGCCCTTCGTAACCCTCTAGTAAGCGGCTAAAGTGTGCTACAGTGACAAAAGAAGATTAGTAGTTCCTGCCTGAGTTAGTCAATCATCAACAGATCCATAAATGAGAAGCCGCCGAGTTCTGGCATGGGTTGAAGACACACGTAGTACACAGAACGACCAGGTAAACAAATTATATGCATATACATATGCACATATTTATTGAATGACTCATCTTCGCATTTGCCGTTTGGTAGATTCCAGCACGCCTAGCGTTCTATTGATTTCCTCGCATCCATCATTCACAAAGGTCTTCGGATTTGTGTATCGCTTCAGCCATTGCCTGAGGAGTTGATCCTCTTCATGGATGCCGTTGAATTCTAGTAGCATCAATTTCGTACTACAGCGTTCCTATATCAGAAAGTCACCAGCTTTTGTGGATTCGAGCGGGCCAGATTTTTCCAGACGACTCTAGTACCAATCATCTCACGATCATCGCAAGCTCTACGCCCAAATATGTATTCAAAGACACCTATTCGCCTCCGTGTGGTGGCAAACCACTAGGAAGATCTGTATATGAGTAAATTTACTGCGTCACCAAAACTACAGTTTGTAGAAGAGCTAGAAGTTTGCAGGAAATGCATGTTACGAGCACCATGCCATCTAGAAGGAATCTTTTCTACATTGTGTAATTCTTCATTGCACTATTACACTACTACCACTCCAAGGACTACTTACATATGATTTACACTCAAACCCGTAACCTTTAAAACCACGCTATTCACATATCATCTGTAATCATAACAATCTGGAACCCTAATTAATATCACTTGCGTCGTTAATATCAAAGAAATTCAGGGAGAAAGACATTCGACTTGAGCCATTGCGCCTGCGAAGAACGCGATGGCTCCTAAACGTCAATAGCAATAAAAATTATGCAACAACCTCATTTAAGCTTAACAGTCAGAAAGGATGCCAAAGAAAAGAGTTCTTTACGCGCGCTATTGACCTGTTTGACATGCATTACGGTAGAGATGGGATTGTGATATTCTGTTGCTTTCTTATAAGACCGTAGTCGACACTCGCTCACTCCATCAATCTCCTCAACAACACGGCTATTTACGAGTGCAGTAATAGTAATTCCCGAGAGCATTCCAAGCATTCTGGGTA